AGAGAGGAGGAGGAGGAGGATGAAGAAGAGAGGTAAAACGAAAAAAAAAAAAAAGTAAAAGATAAACAATACCGCGGGATTAAGGGATGGAGCAGAGAGATGAGACGGAGAAAATGAAAGAGAAGGAACAACAATACGGTTGTGGCGTCCCAGTGATTTATTCCGGCTTTCAACGGCACGTCACCCACTCAACCTCATCCACCGCCCCCCACTCTTCCCTGCCTCCTTTAATTTTAGAGATCTCTAATTCGAGCACGGTTCCGAGTAAATTTAAACCATGCTTAGCAATTTTTTCCCTCCACATTCCCAAGGTTTTGCTCGATCGAGGCTCTCGAATCTCGTTGTTTTCCTTTTTTTTTTTTATTCTTCGGTTTCGATGAGATTTGGTAAGTTTTCTTCTTCTTCTTCTTCTTCTTCTTCTTCTTCTTCTTCTTTCTTTTTTTTTTCTCTTCGTGAACAATCATTCGGAGAAGATATTTGTCGAAAAATAAATACGAGATTAGGACACGTGTTTTCTGATTCGTCCATTTGAACGTCGATTTGAAATTGATTTTATTTATGAACTTAACACGTTATGCGAATTAGTTAGGGATTTTTGGCGTAAATTTAAATTGTGAATCTTTTTTTGTAATGTGAATTGAAATCGAAATATTTTATACCTGTGAATAGTGAATTTCAAAAAAATCTGGATAGATTATAGGAACTTTAATATATCCATAAAACATTTATGGATATATTATCTAACTTAATTTGAGTATATAAAATCTTAAGTTTTAGAAAGATCCATTACACCCTAAGAATCGACGATTCATCATCTGTATCAACTATCGCGATTTTTTTATAAATTCAAATCTACAGAAATTACACGATAAAAATTAACTAAAAGAATAATAATTGAATTCTAGAAATATCGATATGATCCTAGTAACTTTACTTGTATCTTTATTTATCCTAGGGACCCTAAGGATAAATCCATCTCTGTATTCACGATATTCTTTTAAAAAAATTTAATTCAAATCTAATACAGAAATTGCAATAAAAATTAGTATATGTTATATGGCAAATAACATAACTGAAAGAAATTTATTTTTATGCCTAAAATCTTAAATTCTAAAAATCATCCATAGAAACATAAAAATTAAAAATCGATGATCCATCTCTGAATTAGCTATTCACGATATTCTTTTAAAAAAATTTAATAACATTCAACTCTAATACAAAAATTGCAACAGAAATTAGCGTATGTTATATGGCAAATAACATATTGAAAGAAATTCTAAAATCTTAAATTTTAGAAACATCCATAAAAACATCCCTAAAAGTGATGACAATCCATTTTTGTATTGGCTATTCTCGATATTCTTTTAAAAAAATTTAATAACCTAATTCAAACCTAACAGAGAAATGGCAATAAAAATTAGAATATGATATACACAGGAAATACACGAAATATATGTGACAACGTTTCAAAAGAAATTTGAATGGCGCTATATGCATTTTGATTACATCCGTGTTCCTTGCACGCTCAGCATGGCACGAATAAATCTCTAAATAAAACAACGCCTCCAATATTTTCTTTTTCACGGGGCGTTTGTTATTCCAACCCGACCTTGCTTTGTGCGCGCGATTTGTCTGTCAAGGCGCAAGGCGACCCAATATCGCGAAGCGTCTCGGAAAGGGTTGAACCGAGACGTCGACTGTCACTGAATTACTCTCGACGAAACGAGCGCACCACTTTCACTCTGGTGAACACGGTTATGCAGTTTCCCTTTAGTTTCAGAGAGACAAGCTCGTCCCACGATTTCTCCTCATCTTTTCGCTTCCTTCGGTCTCTCTGGTGAATTGTTTGTTCAAGTGTTGGTACGCCGTCTAGTGATAATAATTGGAACTATGACGCTTTCCAAATTTCGAAATGACAAGATTTGTGATGCGTTCTTCGATATTTCCAGCTAGATTTTTGATGAATTATGACTTATGCTTGTATAAAAATATTGTTACGTGTTTTAAATTTCGAATTCGAAATAGAATTTGTTATATATATACTCTTTGCCTTTTTGCAAATTATTTGCAATTGGATCTTTGGCGAATTTATAACAAGAATATATATAGAATATTGTTTGCGCATATTTCGATTGTTTGTTCTTGGTGAATCGATTGAACGAAATCACGTTGGTTCGTTACACATTCTAGGGAATCGACGAGAAATCGGTTTATAATTTTCAATATGTTGCATCGCTCAGGATGCAACAAAATAAAACAAATGTTAGGCTATATGATGATTTGTGGCAATCGACAGAGCTCTTGCAATCTGTCGGTTCAAAGATTGCCCTCAAAAACTCTGAAAACTCGGAAAGTTTTCTAATTTATAGACCGATAATGCATCCATCGTGGATCCTAGTAATTATCCTCCTAGTAATTTTACGCGACGGGCAAATATAGTTACTTCGACAATTTCTTGTTCAAAACACCAACTATAATAACAGATACGAACAAATGTTGTTTAGTTACTTTTTCAACTTTTTTGAGTTAATGTCCAACTCTGCCTCCAACGAAGTTTGCCATCGATAAAATGCTGGAATAACACTCGTTCGTAACTTAAGTTACAGTTTATCCATTCTTCGTACAATCTCAATCGTTTAACGTTACGGTTATCTACCATTATTATTCGATGCAATAAATTATCGAAGTTTCTTAACTTTATTCTTAACTTCAACTTATTAAATTTTCCCCATCTCTATGATTCTGAAGGGAATCGATTGTCTCGTAAGAAACTTCATCCTGCTCTCAACAGACTCGAAGAGGATCAGTACTCGACCCGTGATAATTTTGCCAGTTTTCCACTGATTAAAATCGGATAGATTCTCCATTTTGCCTTAGAAACATTAATGGGCAAAATTTGAATAAAGTATAACGATAGTCGCAAATATATAATTATTTAGTGTCAAGCAGCCGAGGTTGTAATAAAGTAACTACGAATAACGTTATTCGAGGCATTTTAACTCTTTGCACTCGTATTTATTTTTAAGAAAAGTACCAATATCAAGTAAAAAAAGTCCCTAGAATGTAATTATATTATACAATATAATAATAAAACGTAGGATGGCGACTATATGACGAGAGCATACGAGAGTAAAGGTATTTTAATTACTCAAATCAACTTTACCATCGAAATTTTTAACTTCAGTTACTCTCCCAACAAATTAACACCCCCGCTTAGAAACATCCAATACAGAGAAATATTCGTACAATTAAATCGAACTGGAATCTCGCCAATTATGTATATAAAATCGAACCAGTAACATCTTTGATTGCACTCATATAATCGTCATCCTACATTTTATTACTATACATATATTTACATAAGCAAATCAATGTGAAATAAATAGTAATATAATTGCACTCTATACGTACAATATAATTACGTTCTAGGGACTTTTGTTACTTGATTGCTAACCTTCTTAAATATAAATACAAGTTCTTGAAGGGATTCTTCGATCGCTAATTTACTAGAATGCATCTCTAACCACGGAGACAGATTGAGAAAAGGGTTCTCCATTCTCTTTTAAATATTTTAAAAATTTTACAGGTGGAGATGCTGTACCAACGATACTTTCTACGAATGAACCAAAGCAACATGACGCACGTTCTTGGCCTATTGGTGGGACTGGCCCTCGCTCTGGGCGTGTTACTGGTCCTGAAACTGATTCTGGACAGCAATCAACAATTTCTCGACACTCTGGAAAGGCCGGAGAACTTGTTTTTAGCGATAACATTGATCACCTGTGTCGCGATCTACGCCGGTAAGTGTATAGCCCCGAGATAAGATCTTGGTGTTTCTGAAACTATAGCTGGGAAGAATATATAAGGCGGAGCAAAGGTTGTTTTAACTATTGGAAACAAGTCTCGCGCAGCGACGGGGAAAATTTAATCAAATGATTATGAATAAACTCACCTCGATAATTTCAAATCGTTCAAAATAATAATCGAAATAATAAACGAAATATAATCGATTGTGATGAAAAGTGGATCAGCTATGGAATAGCTACGAATAAATG